TCCGGTGGGTGTGCAGAACGTGTTATATTTTTGAAATATATATTTTTAAACATAAAAAATGTTTCAATATTGTCTCGAAGCATATTTGTTCTACGAAAATGAATAAGGCAAAATGGACAAACATGATAATTCAAACAACAAGTATATAGATAATTTAAGATAATGCTTGAAATGTTTTCTTGTTTCCGTGAGTAGATTTTAGAAAATTTTTATCAGCAGCTCATATTTAGTCAACGGGTAGTGATGTTATTACCACAAAATATCAATTAATTTTTGTTGGTGCTTGATGACCAGTTAATGATTAAAAAACTGCTTCGTTTACGTATTAATTGTCTCCACACTGTCGCCATATAAAAATATTTAAGTGAATAGCAAATATTGGTTTGGCGATGTGTCCGTATTCTTCAATTTGTTTGAATATATGCACAGAATTGCTTGCGTGTGCAGTAAATTTCAAAGCGTTTTGTAACAAAGGATAAGCTATTCACAGCTGAATGCTCATGCATTTTCAAGCAAGCGAATCAAGCAATTATCTCTTAAAAAACATGCGTGACAAAGTGAATCAAAGTGGGTATTGCACTAATTGTTTAACGATCTATAGATTCCTAAAATAAAATAAAAAGCAAACAAGAGATTATGTTGTTTGAAGCTGATTACACAGTTCGCATTTTATCAACCGATATATGCTTAACCAGCAACTGTGAATGTTAGCTTATCAAAATGCCTTTTTAGAAGCTATTTTTGAATTCACATAATTGACAGCTTTGCGCAATTTAATTTTTCCACCCTCTACTTCTCAGCGATATTTACAAGTATTCCCGATAATTCAAACGATATAAACGCCTAATTCAACTTTAGGTTGATAGTAATCATTACAAAATAAGTTGGTTCTGGTGAAGGCCCTTTTTAGAAGCTATTTTTGAATTCACATAATTGACAGCTTTGCGCAGTTTAATTTTTCCACCCTCTACTTCTCAGCGATATTTACAAGTATTCCCGATAATTCAAACGATATAAACGCCTAATTCAACTTTAGGTTGATAGTAATCATTACAAAATAAGTTGGTTCTGGTGAAGGCACGCTACTCGTAAACTTTAATTCTTCAGCTTATAGCAGGGGTCACCAAACTTTTTTGACCGCGGGCCGGGTATGACTCAAATTGTGTTGAAACGGGCCGGATGAATATTTTTGTCAATGCAATACAATAAATTCACAAATGTTGGAAATAACGCAGAATATAGATCGAGAACATCCTAGGAAAAAAAATTAACAAGATTTCTATATCTAGACAACTATCCTGAGTTTAGCTGTTATCACAACGTTGCTGTCATGAATTAGAAATGTTACAAAATCCGCGGCAAAAAATGTACGCATCACGTCTGCTAAGTACCGTTACGCCGTGTTGAAATACCGCTCATAAAAACGACTGCCTGCTGTAGCTTGGAATTCTATGAAATTTTGACATAATTTAGATAAAATTTTGACATAATTTAGATAAAATAAACAACTATTATTTGGTATTTGAATTTTTTCATTAGCGCATAAATTTCCCAACATTCGACGCTTTTAAAAATTACGCCCCAGTTATACGTAGTGCAAATTATTGATATTGTCTATGGACACCAATAAAATTTATATGGACGTGTGTATTTCTTGTCTAACTTGATACTTACCAATTTTTATGAAGTTCGTACAATCAGAACATCGTTAATTATTACCCACAATGAACCACTGTCACACTATCATGCACAACTCCAGCGTTTATTTGCGACGATCTTTCGGCGGTGTCAATGACCGTCGCCAGTATAAAATCCCGAAATTACCTCGGGATTGATATGTGTTATTTTTCCATATTTAGTACAGTTCTTATCAAAAAAGTAATACAATCATTATGGAAAAAATTGGCTGTCGGGCGGTACTAAAATTCCGATATCTCCGTTATTTCTTGACCGTTTATTCCAAACTTGGTATTGTTTTCTATTTTTACGCAGATCTTTCCACTGGAGCAGTTTTTATTTAAATCGGATGAACTTCAATTTTTTTGTAACATACCTACATGAATATCCGCATTAAAGCAGTACAAAAGTTATTGTGGCTTTTGAAATTGGAGCAGTACGCGAGGGATTACAGTACTGTTAGCACAAAATGCACATTCGACGTTTATTTTAGCACGAAAAACAAACAGTTTCGTCGAAAGCAAGCGCCACGAGTGTACAAGGGTATCGCAGAAAACGTTACGTACTGGTAGCATTCAAAGTCGCAAAAACGAAGTTTTGTTTACAACCACGACTGAAAATCTGTCAGGGTGACAAAAGTGTCTGGGCGGATGCGGAAAGGCCTATTATTACGTCACTTTTCTGCATCTTGCCGATTGGCCAATGTTACGAAATACGATGATGCTCGTGAAAATCTTCCTTGGAAAAAAATTTAGCCATTTTTGCGTGTTATTGCGGACCGGATAAAATGACGCCGCGGGCCGGATAAAATGACGTCGCGGGCCGGATCCGGCCCGCGGGCCGTAGTTTGGTGACCCCTGGCTTATAGTGACGTTCGCAAGAGTATGTTAGGCGCTATTAACGGCTGCACAACTTTGTATAACAAAGAAATACACGATACTTATAGTTTTGAATATGAACTGTTAAATGGAATACCAATCCCCACATCATATCGCTTTTCTCAAACTCCTGTACAAAGAGATGCGTCTTTTCCGACGAGCTACTTAGTTTATTCTTCGAAAATTCATCATAAGGATACAACGAGGCCTATATTTTTTTTTCTATTGTATGTGGTCAATTCATTACTTTAAACATCGTTCCTCAAAAACTACCCTTCGAAACACAAAAGAAAATTGAATCAAGCATTTGAGCTTTATTTTCTACATTTATTTCATACATCTATCACCGGTAATGAAAACACCAAATAAACTATTCCAAACAACGTTATATCTGTGACTTGTCAGAAGCAGAAATGAATAGATGTTATTATACTTGTTTGAAATTTTTACGAGAAAATCAAACTTTAATTGCAAGAGGCATGCACTAAATGAGTTATTTACTGGTCGTAATTATTAATTGTTCAAGTGTATTTAGCGGGGAGAAATCAAACATCATAAAGTTTTTTTTCTGGTGATAAGCATCTTTCTTTATCTGGTTTAAAATTAAATTCTTCACATCGTTTTGTGATGATAATGATGATGATGATGCGTAAAACATCTATTGACAACGTCCTTTGTAGAAACGATATCTGAAAAAGGGGGAATTCACGGTTAACACAATTATATTTTTTTATAAAAAAAGAGTAATCTGAAGTAAAATTCATTGTCGGAGATAAACGAGGAAGGATAAATATGACAAGTTACTTTTGCACATCTTGAGTGTAATCGACCGTTGTTGCTTGACCAAAATTAAATTAAATACTGAGTTGATGAATTTCTTATGAGTGCTACAAGTTTCTAGGAAGAAAAATCGTGCTTAAAATGAATTTTGATACTAAATCTCATGTTGAAAATACGCGGTTTCAATATTTTCAAATTTTATATTACTTACGTTTCACTTAATGCGCAATGCATGCATTTATTTGCTTCACTCTTGAACAGAATCTCTCCGTCTTCTGAAAACCCTGTGGCAACGCATACTGGATCAAATTCTCTAGTACAATGTCCCCTTTTCTCCTTTTCATTGCAGTTCTGTGTCAGAAATAAATGTTTGTACATTTTTGTTAGCCTGGATTATTGCACCTAATTGTTCCGATTCTGATTGCTTTGTAACAATAAAAAAAAAAACAGGAGACGAAAAAAACAAATATCAGACTTTGTCACTTTCACAACGTAAGACAGGAGTAAATTATCTAATCAGATATTGCTGTTTTGTGGGCTGGTACATACCAGCTGCTGTGTTTTTAACAAAATTACCAAAAACTTTTTTTTAAATCATCTTTGACTTATTGTCTGATTGAAAATAGGCCAAGGAAACCCTTGTGCAATAGATTAAGTGTGTTTTATTATCTGAATTGCTTTTAAGTGTAGCAAGTTTAATAACAGTCAAAAATCTAATATCTATTTGATAATATTCAAACGAGAATATCGGTTGGAAACCGAAGACTTATCGATCGATAGTTAGGGGATCCCCCAAAACAGAAACTGCAGTTTCGATTCATCCGCTCTTGTAACTTGCGCACTGCGCATCGCACACACACACTCGGCGGGTTTCAAAATTCTCTCGCTTTACAAAAATCTAGATCACTATATCAATAATTGATTGATAACTCGCTAATTATACGACATAATTCGCCCAAAATCAATAGGCTTCTGGTCCGAGATAAGATTAATGCACATGCAAAATCTGGAGCAGATTCAATCTCGCTTTCGTGAGATATCGCGTGCATCTAACAGACACACACACAGACACACAGACAGACATACAGACAAATACCTATCAATATATTTACCGATCTTAAGATCGATAAGTAACAATATGCAGAGACTTGCGCCAGAACCCTAGGGTGACGCGGAACACCGAATGGAAATCATTGTCCAAACAACTCTGATTATTATTTTTCGATATGCGTAATTAAGAATATCATGACTAAGGTATTGAGTAAATAGGCGCGAACGAATATAAGAATTACGAATTACTGAGATCGAATGCCATATGCAAATAAATCAAAAGTTTCATGCCAGAAATAAAAATTTAATAATAAGTATCTTACATAAAGCTCAAGGTGTTCCATCATTTCTAAATGAGAATTAAAGGAATAAAAAAATCATTAGAACAACAATACTTTATTTGACATTATGCAAGCAGATTTTTCATATTAAAAATATTACGAAATAAATAGCAAATAGGTCGGGAGAAAAGGCAGTGAAAGCTATTTATTTATTGAATAGTAAAGTATTCAAATATGTTCAAATGTAAAATATTTTCTCTGAGTCATTGCCTATTCATCATAAATTTAATCAAAATCTCTGCCTACAATTAAAAATTGTAACATTAAAAAGTACCTTTCTTTTTTGCCTCAATGCATTCGGCCTTGGGAACGCAAATACGTTCATTTGGACTCTTTTGCATCTGTCCTTCTGGGCACGAGCAGTAATCCCCAAACTTGCATTGAAGTGTGCAGGGTGAATTTTCTCCTTCCATATTTGGATTATCGCATGTTCCTTCACATGGTTCGCAATCAGAGTATGTACTTCCAGCAGGACACATCTCTTAAAGTAAGGTTTTGGCACATAAATATTATTACAGAAGTATGGCAATATTTTATAGCTGATTTGAATTAATGATATGAGTTTTAATATGTCAGCCACGCATAACCACAACATGATATAAATTCCAGTATATTGATGTTCTCATTTATAAATAAAACATACAGTGTAAAACCCAATGCAAGTAAACCTAGTCAGTCTCTAAACATGATTGTAAATCATACTTGCTTGTGCTTCCGCAATGCAAGTTGAAATCTTGACACATTCAATATCGTTTTCGCTTCTTTGCATGTAACCCTCCGGACAAGAGCAGTAATACCCTGTCAAACAAATGAGAGGACAAGGTGCTGGGTACCCGTTCTGCAATGCTTTGAAATAACCTAAATCGAGACTGTCACATGTACCACCGCAAGGTTCGCAATATTGATTAGTTCTTCCATCAGGACACATAGGTTGACTCTCTGTAAAAAAAATCAAGATGCTGACCAGTTTGCATTACATATTTTTTGTTAATCTTGTTATATTATTTCGTTTGAGTATGAAATATGTGAAACATGGATGCTCATAACAGACATCGTTGAATTTAATGATTTTCCATCAAATACTTACCAGCAGAAACTGAAAGAAAGAAGCAGAATGAAATTAGATAGAAATTCATCGTGTTCGTGAGAAGGCAAACTATTAGTTGTCCTTGGTTTATGAGAATTGAATAACTGAAATATGCAAAATTAAATATTTTTATTTTAAACATAAATACACTTCTTAAAAATATGATCTCATTGGTTCAATTGATATAGAAAAGCATCAAAAGTTCTTGAACCAGTGGTAAAAATTCAGATAGAGCCACCTCGTCGTTTGAAAGTATACCAATGATGCTAAACAAGGATATTGCAACATGTCAAATTGGCAGACAAGAGTACACAAGTCTACAAATGCTAACTGCATATAGATGCTTATATAGCTTTCGCACATCATTTCATTCCATAAAAAATCGTAACTGGTTGACACTTCTAGGAAAAGGCCAGGAAATAAATTCAGAGAAGAAAATTGAATTGTATTCAATAAGCAAAACTAGTCGTCTTTCTTTCTGACCACTTTAATTTTGAAAGAACAGAAATCGACTCACACGTTCGGTTATTAATAATATAAACCTTTTAAGTACTTCCACAAACTTCTTGGAATTTGGAACACTAATCTCCTGCCCTAAGAAGCGTACAATGGGCTGTTTAAGATACTATTAAGTAATAGGAAATTATAAGGATTTATGTAGTTAAATGGAACAATGGACCAGCAAATTTCTTACACTTTCTGCAAAACACTTTCAAGAATTAGAATAAAAAAGAGAAATTTTATGAGTTCATTGCGTTGTCATTTTTATAGGAAAATATATTTAATGAATGGCTTGTGAAATCCATATTCTTAAAACCGAATCACACGACCTCTTACAATTAACTCAACTGAAACTAATAGGTGTATAACGCTGCACTTTTCCAAAGCATGCTCAAGACAACGTCCTGATATTTCCACTGAAGGTGGACATAGTACTAATGGAAGAGTTACAAAGAGCCAATAGCTCTCGAAAGACACGATAAATAAAAGCATGTCAATGCGGCACGTTCGCGTAGGGTTTTGTTATTTATCAATTCTAAAATAACGTCACGTTTTAAATTAAGGGCATGTATATTTTGTATTTTTTTTTTTGAAATTCCTCTTTTATCGCCGTGCAACTACGCCAAAATGGTGCGTTTTGACAGCTACAATTGTTGTCAGAATAACCATTTCGAATATGTAAGATAAATTCTTGCTTTGACTTTAACTTGCATTGCTCAACTTTATCACCAAATTAGTACCTACATTAAAATTAAAAAAAATCAAATAATACAGCCATTTTAAATAGAACAGGCAAAAAAACTTGAGTTTAAAAAATTGATTAAAAATTCGTTTTGAACAAATCCCTACGTTCGCGTAACTTTTTTGATCGGGAAATGCAATTTTAAATACGTCCTGTATTTCAAGAAAAATCAAATTTGACACAACAAGATATAGAGGAAAACATAAATAATATATTATACTGGTTTTTGTTATATTCGGGAGAAAAATGAATGCAATTGCTTGTCAAATTTTTTACACTTTGAAATAGCTTGAAGAAATTTATTGCCAGTGACGAAAGAACTTTATTCAAAATTGATTCAATTCTGCTCATTAAAAATAATAAACATCAATATAAAGCTGTTGAGGTTTTATATTTCGTTGAATATCACTGCAGCTTGTGGTAATAATATTTGGAATTAAAGTCTAATTAATATATTATAATGACTTTTTGAACTCAACTCACTTCTTATTGCATGTGCATTGTATAAAATACGAGGAATACGGAGAAAGTAATAGAAGATAGAGGGTATAATAGGAACGGATCAACTTTCCAATTGTTAAACTATATATATTTCCTATGTCATAAGTTGTAAATTTTCGAAGTATGAACGAGCGTTTGGTAGTATAATTCAAAGAATATATTATAATTTTACAAATCCCTTCCGTGGAGTAATATTCCCAGACACTTGGCAGGTAGGTTGGATTCAAAAGGTTTGAATTGAACTGTCTAAAGTCTACCCCACATAACGACAAATCGTGTTTCTTCATTAAAATACGGCCTATTGCGCCATATTAAAGTTTTGCTTTCAACTAAATCTGTATCCACGGTTGCTGTTGTGTGTGATCGTTCCATATTTTAACATATTCATATATGAGTCCACACTCATATATATAATATTTGTTAAGCTTAGGTAATCAAAAAATGAGTCACGTTTTATATAAAATTTTTCTGATTGTTACCACACTTCAAAAATCTACTCATTACCATTAAACTGTACCGTTGCCGTGAGTGATCGTTAATGGATTACAATGATCAGGCACTCCAGGCCTGATTATACGACTATAGAAAAAGTTAGGATGGGAAGTAACTCGCGCGTATATTTTACCGCAACCTTAAAAAACGAATAGTACTTCACGTACAAATGTTGCTCATTTCATTTAAAACAAGCCGTTGTGATAGTACCGAAGAAGCTACGATTAGACTTAAATATACAACGCGAATTTTTAAAATAGGTAATTCGAATTTATAAAACCGAATGACATTTACGCTTCGCTGAGTGGTACCAGGGGGCACAAAAATAACATTGGTATTTAGATCACATGATATGCACATTGCATGATACACCTATTATCGATTGAGAGTTTGGAGCCATTCTCATGTACCACGACGAAACGTTCTATGCAAAGAGATGCATCTTTTCTGTAGAGCTACTTTATTTACCAAAAAATTATTATTACACTGCAACAGTGGTTCTTAAAGTCGCTGGTCGCGGAAGGTTTAAAAATGGGTCGCGCCAAGGTCGTCAATGCAAGGGCGATCCAAGAGGAGGTGGCCAAATATTTGAGCTGGTCCAATGTCTCAATTTATCTTCTTATCTTTGGTATTTAAAAACAATGAAATATACAGAAAGAACTGTCTTGAGTTCATTATTGCATCAAAATTTATATACCAGTCACGTGTCACGTTGTTTTATGGATGTCAGTAAACTTTCACGTGGCTTGTTGTTGTGTTGACCGTGCGGAATATCATCTCTTTGAAGCAAAATAACGAAAAATGGATCCCTTCTTTGATAATGTGAATCCTAATAGACAAGGCAAAAAGAAGCTCGCCTGCCAACATCAGCTAATTCAAGACCTAGACAGAATGTGGCTTTAGTTCGAGGCCCCATCAACGGCGAACAAAGTACTGTGAGCACACGTGATGAGTAAAAATTTCTTTTCTCATAATTTTATGAGTCTATTTTTAGTTATTTTTCTGGGGATAAGCATCTCTCTTTATCTGGAGTAAAATGGAATTCGTCACATCGCCTTGTGATGGTGCGTAAAACATTTAAGTTATTTACAACGTCCTTGATGGAAACAAAATCTGGAAAAGAGAAATTAGTGGTAACAAAAATTTGTAATATGAAGTACAATTCATTCTCGAACCAACATGATATAAATACCATTATGATAATAAAATATACAATGGCAAATCCAATGCATGAAAACCTGCTAAATCATACTTGCTTGTGCTTCCGCAATGCAATTTGATTCCTAACACATTCAATATCGTTTTTGCTTCTTTGCATGTAACCCTCTGGGCAAGAGCAGTAATGCCCAGCCCTACAAACAAGGGGACAAGCTTCTTGGTACCCGTACTGCAATAATTTCAAATACCCTGAATCGGGCCTCTTCTCATGTGCCACCGCAAGGTTCGCAATATCGATAAATTTTTCCATCAAGACACGTAGGCTAAAGTTCTGTAAAAAAATTAAGATGCTGACAAGTTAGCATTACATATTTTTCGTTAATCTTGTCATATCATTTTATTTGAGAATGAAATATGTAGACCATAGGTGCTCATAACATTCGTCGATAGATTTTAATAATTTTCCACTAAATACTTACCAGCAGAAACTGACAGGATTCAGCAGAATTAAATTAGATAGAAATTCATCTTGTCGTTAGAAGGCAAATTATCAGTTGTTCTTTGTTTATGCAAATAGAATAACTGATATATATATATATGAAATTAAACATTTTCGCTCTACTTTTACTTTTAGGAAGCACCTATCCTAAATCAGTGGTAAAAATTCAGATATAGCCACCTCGTCGGGTAAACGAAAAAGTATACCAATGCCAGGGCAATGATGTTAAACAACAATATTGCAACATGTCAAATTTGGTAGAAAAGAGCACACAAATCTACAAATGCAATCTGCTTATCTTCCTTTCTGACGACTTTTTATTCCAAAGAATGTAAATCGATTCACACATTCGGGTATTAAAAATATAAACCTTTTAATTACTACCACATATTTCTTGGAATTGGGAACACTATACTTCTGCCCTAAGAAGCGCACAATGAACTAAGCTTAATTTGACCACAGAGTCACAGGAAATTATACAATAAATTAATAGGATTTCCGTAGTTTCTTGGTTTATAGGCACAATGAACCAGTAAATTGTCTACACTTTCCACAAAACAGTTTCAAGAATTAGAATAAAAAAGGAGAAATACTATGAGTTCATTGCGTTGTAAATTTTCTAGGAATATATATATAATGAATGGTTTTTGAACCCATATTCTTAAAAATAATTTACTCAACTGAAACTAATAAATGTATAACACTGCCCTATTTATAAAAAAAAATCCTAAAACCATGTTCTGATATTTCAACTAAATGTGGACTTAGCACTACCGGAAGAGCCAAATAACTAATAACTTTAAATTGAAGCAATTTAATTCAGCACTCTCGCGCAACAGTTTTTGTTCGCAAAGTGCTCTATTTCAAATACTTCCTATATGTCCAGCAAAAGTAAATTTGACACAACAAAATGTATAAGGAAAAGCATTGATAATATATATATTTTGGTATATTCAGGAGAAAAATTGAATGCAATCGTTTGTCAAATTTTAGTTATAAGAAATATTTTTTAAGAAATTTATGGACAACTGGCGGATGAACTTTATTCAAAACCGATTTTGATTCTGTTTATTAAAAATAATGAATAGAAAAATAAAGCTATTAAGGTTTTATTTTTCTGTGAATATCAATGCAGCTTCTGTTAATAATATTTAGAATAAAATGTCCAATTGATATATTATAATGACTTTTTGAACTCAACTCACTTCTCATTGTATGTACATTGTATAAAATACGAGGTATACGTGGAAAGTAATAGGATATAGAAGGTATAATGGGAGCGGTTCAACTTTCCGACTGTGCATTCAGTTATTATAATTATTTTTCCCATGTCATAAGTTGTAAATTTTCGAAGCATGAACGGGCGTCTGGTATAGTATAATTCGATAAATACATAATAATTTTACAAATTCGACTCGTGGAATACTATTCCTAGGTACATGCCATGTGGGTTGGATTCAATAAGTTCGCATTGAACTGTCAAAAATCTAGCAAAAATAACGACAAACCATGTTTCCTCAATCAAATACGGCCGATTGCGCCGTAATAAAGTTTTGCTTTTAGCCAAATCTGTGTCTACGATTGTTGTCGTGAATGATTGTTCCATATTTAACATATACACGAGTTCACACTCATATATTAATTGTTTTGGTTGCCCAATCAAAAAAAATGAGTGACATTTTATATAAATTTATTCTGATTGTTACCACACCCCAAAATCTAGTCATCATTATTAAACTGTACCGTTGCCGTGAGTGGCCATTCATGGATTCCAATGAGCACGCACCTTGCTCAGGCCTAGTTGGGCCACTATAGAAAAGTTTGGATGGGAAGTAACTGGCGCGTACACCACCTCAAAAAACCGAAACGTACTTCACGTACAAAGGTTGCTTGCTTATCTCATTTAAAACGAGCGGCCGTAATAATGGCGAAAGATCTGAAGTTAGACTCAGATATACAACGAGAATATTTAAAAAAAAATCGAATTTATGAAACTGAATGACTTTTACGCTTCGACGAGTGGTGCCAGGTGGCACACAAAATACAAGTGGTACTTGAATCACATGCATTGGTGTACTTTAGAAATCTGTGAAGGTCAAAAATATTCAAAATTGCTTCCGTTAAATTGCTTTCAGTAATCAAAAAATATAGGATAAATATCGAAGTAGTATCGACGAGTATCGAATCGGTATCAATGTTGCAGCAGGACATTTTATATAATCGTTAATCGGTCTGCCTATAAAATATAATATGATAGATAACAAATATACCGATAGTTTAAATTTATAGTTGAACTTAAAACGCCTGTCTGACGCAGGTCTGCTAAAGTATTCAACAATATGACTCAATTCTCTTGAGGTCAAAAAATGCTTCAATAAATCTGGATTTGATTTAACTTCCATTCATTTATTTATCGTTATCGTATCTATTTATAGCTTGCAATCGTATAATATTGATTGATTGATTCACAAGGGAATTTTGTATGCGGTCACTTTCATTACCTTCGGATAATTCGAACTAATTGATTATTCAAAGTGAGTAAAAGCTTTTAAATGTTCAGTGGAAACGACGGCGAAAACGTTAATCGTATATTAAAAGTAAATAATATTCAATTTATTTTAGTCTACTGACATCGCATATTCTTGATCTCAACCGCTGTGCTTGGTAAGCTATTTCGTTTGATTAATTTTTGTGATGTAACATGAATTTCACATATATATTTTGTAAAGAAGATGAATACATGGTGAATATTGCAACGATAAAGCAATAGGTTTAATTGAGGTTGAAGTATGTACGTTTCTATATGAAAACGATCAATACAGCAGGCGGCGCTATTAGACAAGTATTTTCATCTGTACACTTTTCATAAAGCGGTATAGATTATACGAGTTAAATTATATATTCTTCTCAATTACAAAAATGTCGCAAAGTTTAGAACTCGAGTGAGCGAATAAGCAGATGGCGCTATTTGCTATTCATTTAAATGTCCATATTGTACTAAAATCAGGTCGAAGAAAATTGTGCAAGCTTCTCACAGCGCGGTTGCATTCGTGTTTGAGTTTAAAACGCCTGTCTAAGGCAGGTCTGTCAAAGCATTCAACAATATGACTCACCTCTCCGTGGTCAAAAACGCTTCAATGCATCTAAATATGATTCTTTTGATTTAAATATTTGTTGTTATCGCACTTATTTCTAGATTGTAATCGATTTTACTGATTAATAGAGGGATTTTATATGCGGTCACTTTCATTAACTTCATCACTGACGTTAGAAGAATTCTCTGAACTAAATATCCAATTTAGAATTTAATATTATATAACTCATTCTATTTATTGGTTTATCATTTTTGTCAATCAAATCTCTTCAGGTCATCGGCTCGATCGTTGTCCTCCTCTTTGGGTGTCGTGGTGAAAAAATGATTGAAGATGGCAAACGGGGAAATTCCAATAGGGAACAATTCGTAAATGACTCAAATGTCAAGCAAACCTCAATCCCTAGAAATAATAAAACTTTTAACAGGAACTAAATGAAAAATTGTAAAACACGAGTAGGCTTGCACGGAATTTACGGATTTACGGAATTACGTAATTATTTGGAGTTACGGAAGGGAAGTTACGAATTACGTAAAGTCGTAATTATTGCATTGAAACGAGCTTTCTTCAAACAGTCAATTTCGTCGATTGCGAAAAATGAAAGCTCAACAAGTAGAAGAAGTTAGAGTTCCGGAGTTGCCATTTACTAACCTATTATCAACTTATCTGGCATGGCCAATGTAAATTATTAACGTATTTAAGGGGGAAGAACTGAGTAGGGCCGTTTGACGCCAACACATCTGGTTTTAACTTCTCCCGCAACTTAACCGTAAATAAGGGATAGAATTGCGTTGAGACCGATTGACGCCAACACACCTGGTTTCAACATCTCTCGCATCTTATCTAGCATGGCCATGGCCAATGTACATAATAACCGTAGATAGGGGGAAGAATTGTGTTAAGACTGATGAACGCTAACACGCCCGGTTTCAACTTCTTCGGGTGAAATGACTAATGAACGCCGGAGATCAATCTATCAAACATGGTCTATCAAACATTTGTATCCATTTTACTTTTATTTATTATTTACTTGTTCCAGTTTTCCGTTACTTATGGTATATATGTTCCGTTTCTATTTTATTCTATTTTATAGTCACGCGTTTAAATAGTGGGAACTCCCCACCAAGTGTGGGTTAGCAATGCCTAACCATTCTTTATTGTTAATATCAACACTTGATATATGAACATGGAATATCATACTGTTTTTGGCTGTTTTATTTCAGACTTGGGGTATAAACAGGAAAATATCCATAACCTTTCAACACGACGATCTTGTGAAATTTAACGAAGAGCTTTCGCGACGAACTGGAACCAAATAAGCGAAAAGAGCGATTGATCACTCGCGCCAATACAGCGCCGTGATAATTAATGTCGCGCTTATCAAATAGCAATAAGACGACAAAAGAGAGATTACGTAATGAACCAACGCAACTGCGTCTTCTCGGCATCGGTAAAGCGATTGAGACGACAGAGAAACAACAAAACGACGGATTCCTCACGGACCGCTAAAAATTTTACTGCTATCATATATAATCAAATATGAGCCAGTGTGTTTATTCTGTGCGAGATCCATTTTCTATTACAAAATCTTGATGTTCTGTTAACGGTTTTATCGTTATATATCAGTCCGGACTTGGCCTTGCTCGTGATGTTTTTCACAATTCCTCGCAATATTTCGGCCATATTTGATTAACTGTCTTACCAAATGCGGCAACTTATTTTGATTTATCGTCGACTTGAATACCACCGGCACTCGACCAAACTTGTGTCAATCTTGGCCGATAGGATCGCCGACTTGAGTTAGCAAATAAATGTCGTGAGTGTAAAATAAATGTCACAAAATGCATTGTTTTGCGATATAACTTTGTATTTTCGGAGAAGGCATATCATATAAGTTC